TGAGTTCTTCAAATCAACCTAGAATGAGTTCTTTCCAAGTGCTTCATCTAATAGAAGTTCTATGTACAGTAATTCTACACAAGGCCTAGTCTACCTCGATAGTCCCGCCATGTCCGACACTGAAGAACTTTATCCGTAAGTTAAAAATAAAACTTCGGTATTGACGTTGAAATAAATTATAATTTAATATTTCTTCTAGGGGCGCACCTGTTGCTGGAGTACCTGGCATACCTGGTGCCGCCGATTTGAGTGATGCTTTGAGAAGGTTAACACCAGCTGAAGTCATGACACGAAGAGCTGTGTTAAGCGGGGGACCACTTTATGCAGGTAGTAAAGGATACATGTTAACCCTGACTAAATACTAATTTAAATTGTAAACTTAGTATTAATTTGCTTTATTTATTTTTTTCAGACTATGACTATGATAATTTAGGAGGTGGCTGTGGTCCAATAACAGGTTGGCGCACTCCTGACAGTGTCATGTCGACAGGTGGTTCTTCCAGTGGGGTTTCATCGAGACATAGTGGAGGCACCAGTTCCGGTGTGGGAGGTTCCATGTGGAGACCGCCTAGAGATGTTTTGCAATTAGTTAAACCTATGGAAGGATCACATACTTTGAGACATTGGAGCAGGTTGGCTACACCCACATTGGCAGGTAAAGGATATTTATATTTATACATATATTTTATGGGACAATCATTTTCTTGTTTACTTTTCAACAAAATCTTTTTTTATCGACACATGGTGATCAATGAACATTTTATTTGTAATTGTTTTAAAGAAGGTAATTTGTATTGAAGCATTTAGTAACAGAATTTTAGATGCTTTTCAATTTTTTTTGGGGTTATCGTAATTTTAAGCTGTATTAGTTGAATAAATGCCAAAATCGCGAACCAAATAGACGTGTGAATTTAGGTGAAGAAGAAATGAAAGTGGACAAAGAGTTGATCTTTGAGGAACGGCCATTTTGACTATTAACTTTCTGAATGTTAATTTTGTACTTGGGCATTCAATAAAATAGATGCTTTGAGTTCTGTTTCAAATTTTGATAATTAAAGGTCATTGGAACAAAACCATACATATCTAATTTATCAATAAGAATGTTAGGAGGATATTATAAAACACTTGGAAGAGATCGCAGAAAACGGCAACACAATAATTCCTATTTTCAAATCACCCAATAAACACCGTGTGATTTGAGCGGCGGTAGCAATTTGAAATCCACAAACGTGCGTTCAGCGTTGTGACACCCATGTGATTTCTATGTGGATTTCAGATTGCTACCGCCATTCGATGTTGGCAATTAATGGCGAGCGAGGAGGATAGTGCCTAGAATTTTTTGTCAATACTTATTATTCCTTACTCGACACCATTTTTACCATTTCTCTTTCGACATTTACCATTTCCCTTTTGACATTTATCATTTCTCTTTCGACATATATACCATTGCTTTCTTGACATTTTTCGCTCGATTTTTTGCCATTTCTCTTTTAACATTCATTGTCAAGGACACTCTTCTTTAGTTAGCTTAGTAAAAAGTAGATATAATGGAACTCACCTTTATATATTTTCCTAAGTTTTCCATACAAGGTTCCGGCACATTATTCTATATTTTTCTGAATAACCCAAAAACTTTGTTCGGGACCCTTCTTTTTATTTACATTGGTAGAAATTAATAAAATTTACAAAAATTCCACATAAACTGTCTTATACACTTTAATACAAAAATGTTAAATAAATCCAATGCGTTCTAGGCTAGCCCTTATATATTGCGCTAAATTTTTGGGCTATTTCTTTACATTTTTGTGAATGACTCAAATTATGGAAGAAACTGTTTCTTATTCAGTTTAGTAGAATCTATATAAAATGAACTATAAACTAACGGAACAGGTTTCATCATATCTTTTGACATGGTTTCTTCTCTTATGACATTCACCATTCCTTTCTCGACCTTTACCATTTTTCTCTCTCGACATTTATCATTCCTCTGTCGACATTCGCCATTCCTCTTTTGACATTCACCATTCATCTTTCGACATTTTCCATTTTTCTCTCTCGAAATTTACCATTACCTTTTCGACATTTACCATTCCTCTATCGACATCCATTATTCCACTCTCGATCTTTTGCCATTTTTCTCTCTTCTCCCTCAACATTTACCATTTTTCTTTTGAAATTCATCATTCCTATCTTGATATTTACCATTCCCTTCCTGGCATTTATTCAAATATGTTCGAAATCATAACCAATGGATAAATAATAATTAACTATCTTTAAAGCGTTTTCAATTTTCTTAATATTTATTTTACCTACAGGATTGTTGGAAGAGCGTCCAGGTGTCCAAATCCGAGGCGGACGTGGTCTGGACGAATTGGGTATGGAACTGTACACTCTCTCAGACCTCGAGGAAGATGATGATATCTCGTTACCAGGAAAACGGTTCCAAAATTCTGGCTGTGTATATACATATACTAACAGGTAGGAAAAATATATAGCCCAGTCATTATAGTAAGTTCACCTCGGAATTTAAGATACCCAGCTGTAAGTCTGTAAATACTTGTATATTGACACTTTAAAGTTGTCTCAAAACCTACATATGGTAGGGTATCAATACCAAATGTAGGTTTTGAGACAACTTTAGGGTGTCAATATACAAGTAATTACAGACTTACAGCTGTGTATCTCGAATTCCGAGATTGTTACCTAATTTAAGCTTAAATGATTGGACTAATAATTCATTATTATTTATTACATTTGACAATGTTTCATTTCTTTTAGTACTGTGATGCATCCTGATGACGGCAGCATTTGTGGCACAAGCGAGTATGGTTCTCGTCTGTGTTCAGCTCAGCCTACACCAGGTACTCAAACACCTGCACCTCGCACCAGATCTAATTCGACATGTTCTACATTCTCAACTAACATGGGTAAGTAGATTTATTAACTATTTCTTCTCTTGGCCAAAAGAATATTAGCATTTTTTTTTAATTTAGGTCTTGCCAGTGTGCTGAATGAAAGAGGGATGCAGAGCGGCGTTCCGTCCTGCTTCAACACACCAGCGTCTGTTCGTGGCGGAATGTTTTCGACTAGTACCACGAATGGGCAGGACTACACTCCAACAGCTACTCCTTGTAATAGTCCTGATGGATCACCGATTGCCACACCAAGGTAAAGAGGATATAACAATTTACAAATGCTAAATAACATACACATATTTTTGGCCTGGTTCTAGTTTTTCTTCAAATTTTGTATCAATTTTCAATTATCCTTGCCCAGATGTTCCAGTCCTGAACCAGTATCACCTCATGCCGGTATTGCCAGCTTATTAAGTCAAGGAGCAGATCTGCTGTGGCGCACTTTTGGAACTGGTTTATACCCTGAAAAATCCATTGAGCACCATGATTTATCTCCATCGGACACCAAGGTAAATATAAAATTAACACTTTTCTGATTGATAAAACACAGAAATAACTATAACCTTAATTTTTTTTCTAGTCCGTGAGCAGTATAGGTCTCGTCGACAGCGTGAAACGTCTAGGATTAGAATCTCTAATTATACCCCCTGGAGACACCATCGACAACAGGTATGGTTACAATGAACCATTGTCTTTGCATTTAAGAGGGGCAGGAAGTGTGGTGACTCGGAGGAACGACGCTGGACCGATGGCCAGATTAGCAAGCATCAGGGCGGCGCTTAAAGAAGCCGAGGTAAAAAACTTATATTAAACTAATCCAATTATGTTATGAATATTATTTTTATTTAAATTATTTTTTTCTTCAGGCGCATTCTGAAGGTGCACCACGTGTTCAGCCAGAGACGCCTAAAGAATCAAAAGACTCTGCCAGTCCTAAAGCCGCTGAGGTGGCTAGTCCTTCACCCAGGAGGGCGAGGGGAGGAGCCGCAGCTGATAGAAGGGCGAGGATGAGGGAACGAAGGATTACCAGGACTGATTTAGGAACTGTGGTCCCTACTGGTGCAAAAGGTAAGGGATTAGGTAAATTGTGAAGATAGATGAAACATGAGTATCATACTACGTTTAATCATTTCTTTAACCATCAGCATGTTTATTTTCAATTTTCTGTAGGATAATTTATACTAATAGCAAAAAAACTAAACTAGTAGTGTATGGCATCGTGCCTTGAGGTAAATTGCTGGAACTTTCCGTACTAAATTAAAATTTAAGAAGTCCGGATTATTTTCGATATTCAAAAAAAAATAATATTTTTTCCCCCAAAAACCAATAGTTTCTTCAACACAAGCAGGAAGTTTTTGAATCATTCAAATCGGATGATTAGCTCTCTCCAAAACTGCCATTTTTTGCATATTTAATTCCGTATCTCCGGAACGGCTGGACCTGCCTTTACTAAAAACTAATCACCACTTCTCCCCAACATTACGAATTGAATGTTTTTTTGGATCATTGAAATTGGATGATGTGTGCGTCCGAAAACGCGAATATTTTACTTGCATTGACGGAATAGACGGAATAAATAATTGCTTATATTTTTGCAAAGGCAGGTCTAGCGGTTTTGGAGATGCAAAAAAATTTGAAATTGCAGTTCGGTGATTGAATGTGTTAAGCTCCCTTAAGCATCCGATTTGAATGATTCAAAAAACTTTCTGCTTGCGTTGACAAAACAATTGCTTTTGGAATTTTTTTTATTTCAATCTTTTTTTGTTCAAAAATTTGTTTGTAGTTCCGGCTAAAGTTCTAAAGCAGTTTATATAATTCGTATAAATATTAGACAATATTACAATATTTATATAATCTATTTGACAACATTTTTTAATTTTTCTCAAATATTTCATTCCGTTATGGGAAGTTCCAGCAATTTGTCTTAGGGCACGATGCCATACACCACTAGTTTATATACAAATAGTATAATCGGTAGACAGGTAGACGGGTAGGCAGATAATCAAGTAGGCTAATAGATAGGAATAATAGTGGTCAGGTAAGCACTATAACAGTTAGTCAGGTAGATCATAAACTAATTAAATTATCTTTGATTAAATCCATCTTTTGCACTTACCAGGAATATTATGCAGACTAATTGCCACTTAAACTTAGTCGGCTTTGTAATTATAATATCAGATGTATTAACTTAGTTATAATTTAGTTATAAAGTCTTAAGTAGTGATTTATAGTTTATTAAATATTTAATTTTATTAATTTTTATTTAATGTTATATATTTGTAGTTTATATATATTAAGTGTTATGTATAACATAATATGCATACAAATCTATCTATGAACTCTTAATACTCAATTTTTTCTCATATTATCTTTAGTTTTTAATTTGTACACTTTAATTTGTAATTATATTGTATTATTGCCTTGGGCGTTGAATAAATAAATAAATAAATAATTCTTTCCTCTAGTTAAAAAGGATCAAGAGGCTCCAACGACCACTTCAACAGAAGAAGCCCCTAGAAGATCAGCCTTTGGAGCAATAGGCGCTCTGCTGTTTGGAAGAAAAGGTGGTCTGCTGTAACATCACATTGATTAAAAGTAAATTCGCACACATCACAGGGTTTGTTGAAAATGTTTATTTTTAAATCGATTGAGTAAAATAGATTTTTGATTCGGTCGTTCGATGGTAAGAGAAATGAAAGATAAAAGATAAAAGATAATTTTTTATCTTGTTTGAAACGGGAAAACGCTGGTAGAGATTTTTTGCAGTTGTTGATTTTAGAAACTTGCCAATAATTAATTTTAAGTTAAGATTTAACATCAATAAATTTTTCTCAAAGATAGGTACATTTATTCTTATCATTTCTACTCAATTTTTTACCATTGAACGACCGATACCTTTACCCAAACTTCCAAATGCTGTTGATAATTTTAAAAGTTTTAATTTATTTTTAATGCGACCACTCGTTTTACAATACATCATCGAGTGCTCAAAAGTGCACATCAAGTGCATTGTGTGTATGAATGCATGTATGTATGTATATTTAGATTAAATAATGATGCATTATTTATCCTTGTGGATGTAAAATTGATTTGATACAATTTCTTTTTTGATAAAATTAAAATAAATGAATCTTGTAAAAATTTTAATGAATCCAAGAGGATGTAAAATTGAAATGATTGAAATTAACATTTTTTTTGTTGATAGTGGATGATATTATTATGTAGTTTTGTAATTGAATAACGGTTTTCAAAGTGTATTTTAAAGGATTTTAAATACTGTATATAAAATATGTGTAAATGATGATGAACATTTATATTTTTAAATAATTCAGTATTTTTTTAGATTAGCAGAATTTTAATTATATATATATATATATATATATATATATAATCATATAGGTTGTGTTTACATTTTTTAATACTAAATATAAATTATCATATTGTTGTTGAACTTATTGAAGAATTAAACTTGAATTTTTTTTATCAATCTTCAATTTTCTTCCTCTGTGTTTACTGATTTTAATAAACCTTTGTTGACATATTTTCTGTCAACCTTTTATCCTAAGGTGAGCGTATTTCTTCGACATTATAAGTATTTACTGATGTTTAATAAATCCCTTTTGAAGCCAATTCTAAACAGAATGAAAATGTTATAGTAATGCTATTTTATGGGATTTTATTATATCTTCGTATGAGTTAGTAGTAACAAACTGCCAAAAAGCTATGTCTGTGCTGTGTGATCAGACGTTTTACACACAAAACCTAACCTTCAAAACGCACAATTGGTAAATAACTATTTTATCAAAAGTGCAATTTTCTGTTGTCTCTTTGACATATGTGAAGCTAGGTTTTATTTGTCAAACGCCTGACTTCACAGCAAAGACGTAGCTTTTTCACAAGTTTTGACCACAAACTCATACGATTATAGACCCACATTAAGCATTACCATAAATAATATTTACCATTATAATAAATACATCTATTTTATCCGAGAACTGGCACCTGTAATAATATTGTTTAATACATTTTTAGAACCAGATTTTAGTAACAGTAAAGCCCAGTGCACACGACGCCAGTATTTCTTGTAACATATTTTCTGTCAAGCTTTTATCGTTAGGTGAGCGTATTTATTTGACATAAGTAATTACTGATGTTTAATAAACCCCTTTTGGAGCCAATTCTAGACAGAATAAAAATGTTATAGTAATGCTATTTTAGGGGGCTATCTTCGTATGAGTTAGTAGTAACAAACTGCCAAAAAGCTATGTATGTGCTGTGTGATCAGACGTTTTACACATAAAAACTAACCTCCAAAACGCATAATTGTCAAATAACAATTTTATCAAAAGTGCAACTTTATGTTGTTTGTTTGACAGAAGTAAAGTTAGGTTTTATGTGTAAAACGCCTGACTTCACAGCAATAACATAGCTTTTTGACGCTTTGTTATTACCTTCACGATTCATATGATTATAGATCCGCAACATAACATTACCGAAATATACTTATTTTATTCTAGAACCTGTCCTTTAATATTGTTTAATAAAAGGTTGGTACCAGATTTTAGTACCTGTAAAGCCCGGTGCACACGGCGCCAGTTTTTCTGGTAACATATTTTCTGTCAAGCTTTTATTTAAACGATAAATATAACTTCAGCATTTTATTATTATTTTAATGTTATAAATATGAGATAAGATCATTACATGGGTTTATCCTAATACACCTGTTTTATGTTTATATTCCAATAAAATAGTTTTTTTGTACACGCTCTCCTTATGATAAAAAACTTAACAGAAAATATGTCACAAGAAATTCTGGCGTCGTGTACACGTCATCAAACGGACTTAATAATCTCAATACAAAATTAGTAAAATAATGCAATATTTTGTAAAAGAAAATGATTGTACATATTTTTAATATAAAAGCAATCATCAAGCTTCATTAAAATAAATAAATGTTAAATATGAACACGATATGAGTTTCAACAATATAATAATTTATATATATATATATATATATATATATATTTAATTTAAATATTATTTATTATCTGCAATTAGACATGATTATTAATTAACCCTAGAAATTAATTAGCCTAGTTTTAACATCAATTCGACCACGGACCAAATTTTTAACCGTGTTTGAGTCACATTTATAATTAACAATACAAAATTATTAGGACGTCACTGGTTAGTTAGAACACTAATTGTAAAATTATAGTCGATTGAAAAATAACACTTGTAAATGATAATTTGGTTTTACTCGATTGGGACAAGAAATAAAATTAATATATATTTTTAAATATATATGATGGTGTAAATGGAAAATTGTGACTATGGCAAATCTATATCAAATAGATTTTCAAGCTAATTAGTCCACAAAAAAGATATTAACGATTGCTGTGAAAAATAAAGGATCTTTGGAGAGTTTGATGTGCCAATCGTGTGTGCATCGATGCAGATGGTGCAAAGACATAATAAATTCAGTAAAAGATTTAGGGGACAATTTTTAGATAAAAAGGGAATATTATATTTTGGGTAAAAAAGCTATATATTTGTTGTGAGATGAGGCTTCTTACACATAAAACCTAACCTCCAAAATGCACAAGTGTCGAATAACTATTTTATCATAAGTGCAACTGATGCCACCTTGATGACACATACGTGAAGACTAACTGAAGTTAAATTTATGACATGTTAAATTTATGCATTTTGGAGGTTAGGTTTTATGTGTTAAACGTCTGGACCGATAATGTAATGAAAGGCCATGTTGCTCCAACTTCCATTTATTATACTACTGAACCATACTGAAAACTGTCAAAATGTCTTGTATTTACTGTGCATTCAGGCGTTTTACACAAAAACTGCAACGTTACTCATATGTTATGAAGCTGGTTCAGAAAGACCCTGTTATCTAAGATCGTTTTTTTGACATTTGTGCGGTTTCTATCTGATAATCTGTGAAAAACGCCTGACTGCACAGCAACCACATGACCTTGCCAATATTTTGTATGAAAAGTTCTTCAAAACATAGCCTTGCCATAACATTGGTTTATTATTATTGTTAATTTATGATTTGCACCATTCATTTTTAGTTAATTATTTAAAAGATAGCTCCAGATTTGGCAAAGAGGCACGAGCTCTTTACAAGAAAAATAGAACAGTGCCTAAGTAGGATAAAAAAAGTTGAAGTGTAAATTGGTTTATCGGATAGATAAAAGCATTATGTAAAATTTAAATTATTAGACAAATACATAAATATAAATATATATTGTAATTGTAGTTGTTTAAGTAGTTGATAATAGTTTTAGCGTTCTTTATTTATATTCTACATGTAATTTAATTTTAAAACATCAATAAAATCGTATATATTCGTTATTACGGTTTTGTTTCATTTGATAAGTAAAGTAGTGTTGTATGGCATAATGCCTTAAGGCAATTTTGCAAATATTTTCACTCGAATACTTTTTCCAATTTCGGTGTCAAACGATCCAGAATTAAATTGAATGAAGAATCTCCTACTCGAAGATTTAAAAAGAAATGACGGTACGATCTTAAATTAAATGTCATAAAAAGCAGATTTCATTGGCGATAAACTCTTCAAATGCATGAAGACCAGCATATTATGTCTTAAGAAATAATATTATTTTGATCGGCAATAAATATATGCAAACAAAAACGATTCAGAATGACTTGAAATGTCGGTGAAACATAAAATTATACAAGTTGGACTTTCTGAAAACAAAACTAAATATAAAAAAAATAAAACAAAATATAAATATGAATAAAATATAAATATAAATACAAATATAAAATAATGATAAAACAATGATAAACAATATTAAATAATAATAAAAAATGATAATAAATGAAAATAAATAATGATAATAAATGATAATAAATAATGATAATAAATAACGATAATAAATGATAATAAATAATAATAATAATAATGGAATAAAAAATAATAATGAAATAAATATAATAAAAATGCAAATAAATATAATAAAAATGAAAATAAATATAAATATAAAATCATACATATTACTCTAACTCTTCTTTTATCTATGACTCTAACTCTAACTCTAAATAAATATTATTTTATTAAGTTTGTACTGTTACCTTCACACTTCACGTTGAACTTCAAATTTCCACCGAATGTTGGTAACGCTGTCGGTTGCATTTTGCCGATCTGTCAAAATAATTTAGTTGCATTATTATTATTGCAAAATAACATTAACATATTTTTTAAATATTATAATAACTTATTACCATTATTATTATTATAGAATTATATTAACATTGAGTTTGAAAAGAGTGATTATAATAATTGTGTAGTATTATATCAGTTATTATGTTAAATAAACATTTACAAGATTGTTTTACTGTTACAATAAAATCTTTTAGAATGTGTAATTTGATTCATCGAATAACAATAGTGTCTCTATATAGAACATGAAAATGTAGTAAGAAGAATCGTTGAATTTAAGGATTTTCTCAAAAATTGTTCGAGATTTTTCATTCAAATACTTTTTCCAATTTTGGTGTAATTTGATTCATCGAATAACAATATTGTCTCTATATAGAACATGAAAATGTAGTAAGAAGAATAATTGAATTTGACTTAATAGAATAATTATTTTAAATAAAAAATGCAGCCAAAGGAAGCAAATTAAAGTCCACAAGTTGTCTGATGTACACATTATGGTGAGTTACTGTATAATTATTGGTATTGTTGATTCGAGAGCACTAGTTTGAATATTGTCTCTTCGAAGCTGAGTGGTTGTTTCTAAGGTATAGGCTGGAAGACTTATGGTAGCAAATGAAAGAGAGAGAGTCTACTTTCAATCACTTTATTGAATAACACTCTAAGCTACACCTTACTTATAATAAAAGGTTTTGAGGATTTTGTATATAATGTAGTATCACCTGTTCAGGATTTTTCTGAATGTTATAGTGTGTCTGGTGTCTAGCATTTTATTGGATCTTATAGTGTGTCTGGTGTCAAGCGGTATAAATGTGTTATACTATATTTGGTATTATGTTTTGTTTTTGTTGCTAACGTTTTAGAATGTTTTATGATGATTATTTCAGAATAGTTTTATTGCACATATACCAAAGGGTATTTCGCATAGCATTTAGTATTAACTTTGCCAATTCTCTGGAGATATCTGATTTTGAACACTGATCGATTTAACTGTATTTTGTTGTTTCAAATTTGTGGATGTCAAATAAATTACTTTGAATCACTAATAATTATAATTTTCAATTAAAATTGCAATTCATACTATTCCTTGGACCAACATAGAATAATCACGTTTTGCAGTTTCTGATATATATATATTAATATACATGTACTCAGAAACTGCAGAACCTGATTTTAATTAATTGTCTGATTGTTTGCAATTTTATTGTATTTGTCTTTTTAAGTTTCTGACTATTAAATAATCGATGATTAATTACCAAAATTATAGTATGTACAGTATAATAAATCGGATGCTTTGTTCTCTCAAAAACTGCAATTTTTTACTTATTCATTAAATAATTTGCAATATTTAAACTCTGCCAATTATCTGTCTGTTAAAATGTAATTTGTACAAAATTGAATAATACTACAAATGCTTAAATATAAATATTACATTATCATTTGGATAATTACATTACATACATCACCGTATTCGTTAGAGTGAAGTTAGTTATTATAACGTCCTTTTAACGGCGCCATTAACGCCTTAACGGATACCAATCTTTCAATATGGTAACACCGTTATTTTGACATTTGCACTTTGTATTCCGCGTGCGATAACAAACAGTCCTTATCTTTGTCGCGGGCGTTGGGAATTCGAATTAATTCGGCATTTAGAAAAAAAGACACACTATCATGTACCCAGAGATAAAAAAGATTCATTCATTAAAACCACATTAATGTCGAAGTCAAGTGGATTCCTAGCGGATGGGGCTATTTTTAGTTCAGTTTCTCCAGTGTAAACAAACGCGATGTCAGTGAATGGAGATGAAATCGTTGACTTATTTGTTGTGGACGAAATAATTAAATCTGTGAAGGATATAAATAGTTTGATACTTGATAACCTAAGTGACAAGGAATGTGTGTATAACAAAATCTGTTTATATTCCGAAGATGAAGACACTCTCGAAGAGTTCACCAAGTTCGCAGCATCCCTCCAGGACGACCTAGATAAACCAACAAATCAAAAAACAAAATAAAACCCTTCCAATGTGTATACTGCTCCCAGTCCTTCACCCGCAACGACAACCTCCTCGTCCACATCAAAATCCACACCCAAGAAACACCTTACAAGTGCCCCGAATGCCACAAACAATTCTCCCAACAACGCTACCTCGCCAGACACTCCAAGATCCACACCGAAGACCGCCCTTATAAATGCACCACATGCCCCAAGGCCTTCAAAACCTCCAGCCATCTCACCAACCACACCAGGACCCACACCGGAGAACGCCCTTACACCTGCCAAGTATGTAATAACAGATACAGCAACCCGGCTACACTGGGGCACCATGTCAAGACACACATGAAACAGAAGCCTTATCAATGCAAGTTTTGTAATAAGGAGTTCTCGAGGCGTAATCGGTTGGTGACACATACTAGTATTCATACGGGAAAGCCTTACAGGTGTGATTTGTGCGATAAGGCTTTTACAGAAGCGGGGAAACTTGCTGGGCATATGAATACTTTGACACATTTGAAGAACTTGGCTAAGTTTAATGGGATTGATTGCACGGAGTAAAGGGAGGAGAAGGAGGAGGGATGTAATTAAGTATAATTAATTTATATTTAACATAGTTTTTTTATTAGTAAAGTGCCTTAAGACCTTGAAAACCAAAGGTACTAAAGGGATTCCTTTAAATCCTCTTCGATAATTTATTTATTCATAGTGTTTGCACAATATGAATCTTCTTTATGATAAATAATAAGAGTAAAGACTTTATGTGTGTGTAAATATATATATATATATATATATATATATATATACACATTAGGGTGGACCTTAATATGGATTTTTTCAAGTTTTTTAGCTCCCAACGGCTCAAATGCTTCTAAATCTATAAAACATAGTGTGCATAAGGATCACAAGCGATTGAAGTAAAACTTATTTGCTACTGTACAAAGTAGCAAATTTAAGTTAAGTAAAAATTAATACCTCATTTAACAATTTTGAATAATGTTTATTAGTAATATGGTAATACTCGAGATGCACACATTTATTAGTGTCAACCATTATACACATTTATATAATGATAAATTATAAATTATATATTTATAAAAGCCTTAAAAATATGTATAATATTTAAAAACAATAATGTAATTCAAGTCATATTTCAAATATGACATCATCGGTTTGTCATTGTAATTAGCATTTACGACTTGAATCTTCATTAGAGAATTGAAGTGATTGCTGATTAATAAATTCTATAATATTTGTTCACATAGTGGATTATGTTAAACAACGTCTAAACAAATATTGTTTTCGCAACTTCACTCATCATGTAATTGTGTTTGAAGAACTTCATCTAATTAAAATTAACATACATTCATTGACTGCTTGTATTTTTTTCCTTTTTTGCTGGTGATATAATCTCATTCTTTGATCAGCTGAGATATCTGTCTTGCCTAAGAAATATTTTCCATTTTAATTACTTCAAAGATTTATAGAAACTACGAATAATATAGAAAAAATTTCTAATCAATAAACTTATGTTTAGTACACGGCACAAATGTTTCATCTGTTTTATTATTTTCAAGGAAAGGGTAGAATATTCTTCTGATTCAGGCATTTTTCATTAAATCAAGATTTGTACTACGATGTAACTTTAAAATGTTTATTTATTTATGCCGATTTTCTTGTTGATATCGGTACGCATACAACGACAGATCTCTATTCACATACACGACGACTAATCACAATCGTCCCGTATAGAAATGATATCATTGAGAGCGAATGACGAATCATTGGCGCTCGACCTTTATCTGCCGTAACGCACTTCCGTTGCATTTATACGGATTTACACTTTAGTCGCGCCTAAAGAAGTTTTACTTCAAAAATTTCTTTGAAAGTTTTAACTCTTAATTTTAACTTTAAGATAGTCTGCACTCCAACTAAAGTTTCTTGGTTGCTCTTCCTAAGTAAATACTTATTTCATAAAGTATATAAATTTGTTGTTGTAATTTTTTTATTTATGATCAAAATAAGCAAATACAATGTTATTCTCAAAATTTTGAGTCACTTGTCGATAAATTATAAAATTCTAAAAAATAAATGCAGTTTTATCTACAGTTTTTTCATAAGAAACTTTGGTTGGAATGCTGACTATCTTAAAGTTAATATTAAGAGCTAAAAACTTTCAGAGATTTATCTTTTTATCAATTTGGAAGCATTTGAGCCTCTAGGAGCTAAGAAATCAAAATCAAAAACATCCATATTAAGAGCCATCATAATGTATATATATATATATATATATATATATATATATATATATATTCGTATATATATATATATATATATATATATATATAACTTTTTTATATCTTCTTTATATAACTTTCAGAGGACTTTTATCAATTTGAAAGCATTTGAGCCATCCTAATATATATCTTTATATTGTAATCGTAACTTCTATTTTGTTTCAATAAGAAAACTACAATAAGTCAGTACTATTACAAAAAATTAAAAGCATTTAAAGATTTGAAATTAAGTTGTCGAATGTTTATTTAAAATAAATAGAAGTGGTGATTATAAATAATAAATTACACTATTATACTTATCGAGAGGTTTTAAACAAATCTGTTTAGTGCCTTTTGGTTTTAAGGTAAAAATAAATGCCATATGTGTGCCATATAGGAATATAAATATGTATATGTATATATATATATATACAGGGTGTCCCAGAACGTAACATCAAGCCAAAACGAGTTGATAGTATTGACTGAAAAAAGTGTCACATTTGGAAATTATAAGCTTTTAAGTGTAAAAAATTAGAAAAAAAATCTCAAGTTTGGAAATTAGAGCTCTTAAGTGCAATATGGAGCTTTGCTGAAATTATGATCATGGGTAATTTTTTTATTTTTTTCATTTAAACTTTGGAACCGAAAATTAAAGTTCGTAAAGATCCTTTAAATTTTCTTGAAAACTTGAAATTTTTAAAAATTTTGAAATTTTTTACAAAATTTGAGTTTTTTGAAAAATTTCATTGTTTTTATTTTGAAGTTTTTTTATCCTTTGAAATTTTCTGAAGCAATCGTGCTGCGTGGCAGTTTTAGAGAACAAATATCGATTTTTTTTTACTTTTTTCATTGAATCTCCGAAACCGCTAGACCTGCCTTCCCAAAAACTTATACGGTACTTCATTTTGTCAATACAAATAAAATGTTTTTTGAATTATTCGAATCGGAAGCTCCGTTCTTTCAAAGTTTTGGCTCCTTTTGCCCCGAATCTTTGAAACAGCTAGACCTGCTTTTGTCAAAAACTAATCAGCACGTCTCCTTATCAATACGAATCGAACGTTTTTTGAATTATTCAAATCGGTTGATCCGTGTTCCCGAAGTCGTCGACGAAAATTTGTATCCGCACACACATACACACATCCATTTTTTTAAGGTATGCGAAAATGTTCAGAAAGGCTTGAAACGTAAAGATACATCAAAATTTTCATTTTAGTTTTTTGGACGATACTATAACTTACGCTACGAAAGCTCTAATTTCCAAACAACTTGAGATATTTTTTTTCTAATTCTTTTCAGAACATTTAAGTTCAATACTATCATCTTGTTTTATCTTGAGGTTACGTTCTGGAACGCCCTGTATATATAAATAAGTATAAATCTGTAATTTTTATAATCCGTTAATCGATTACTGTTACTTTTATACGAATATTATTATCAAATATAACAATTTCTATATATAGTTAATTTAGTGAAAGAATCAGTATTGTTATTCTAGTTGAAACGATGCATTTATTATGACATTTTTATACCAAATATTTGTTTTAGTGCAATAGTAATAAATATTGAATTAAAAAATATATATATTTTTTATTAATTATGGATTCATTTTTTACTTGATTTAAAATTAAACTTTTTATTAACTTCCAGAAAAAGAAATAAAAATCGCGAAAAAATCCGATTTTTCAACTTTATGTTTGTCTCTACGTTGTAAGTTGATTTAGAGAAGTTTTACTTCAAATTCTCTCTGTCTTAATTTTAGTCATGTTGGGTCTTATATAAAAGGTCTCATCGAGCACTATACGATTTTCAAAATAATTTTGATGTGCTCTCGTTATTGTTTGTTGGTTTAGTTCTTTTTCTCGTTTTAGATCTAATGAAGTTTAACTTCAATTTTTCTCAATCCCAGTTTTAGTCATGTGGAGTCTCATCGAGTACAATACGATTTTCAGAATAATTTTGATGTGCTCTCATTGTTTATTGTTAGTTTAGTTCTTTTTCTCGTTTTCGATCAAAAGAAGTTTTACTTCAATTTTTTTCTACTCAGTTTTAGTTATGTTGGGTCTCATTTGAAAGGTTTAATCGAGTACAATACGATTTTTACAATAATTTCGATGTGCTCTCGTTGTTTTTTATCAGTTTTATCAGTTCTCGTTTTAGATCTAAAGAAGTTTTACTTCAATTTTTCTCTATCCCAGTTTTAGTCATGTGGGGCCTCATTTAAAAGGTCTCCTTGAGTACAATACGATTTTCAGAATAATCTTGATGTGCTCCCGTTGTTTTTCGTTAGTTTTGTCAGTACTCGTTTTAGATCTAAAGAAGTTTTACTTCAATTTTTTCTATTCCAATTTAGTCATGTGGGGTCTCATATGATAGGTCTTATCGAGTACAATACGATTTTTTTTTAAAATTATGTTAGTTATGTTTTTATTTTTAAAATATATTTTATATATTGTTTTTTGTCAGTTCTCATTTTAGATCTAAAGAAGTTTTCTTCAATTTTTTTCTATCCCAGTTTTAGTCATATGGGGTCTCATTTAAAAGGTCTTATCAAGTACAGTACGATTTTCAGAATATGTTTTATGTATATGTTTTATTGTTATACCCAGTTTGGTTTTAGTTAGTAGAGTTCTTTTACTCAGTTTCGATCTAAAGAAGTTTTACTTCAAATTTTCTCTGTCTCAGTTTTAGTCATGCTGGGTCTCATTTAAAAGGTGTCTCATCGAGTATAATAGGATTTTCAGAATATTTTTGATGTGCTCTCGTTGTTTTTTTGTCACTTGTTCTTTTTGTCGTTTTAGATATAAAGAAGTTTTACTTCAAATTTTTCTGCCTCAGTTTTACTCATGTTGGGTCTCATTTGAAAGGTCTCATCGAGTACAATATGATTTTCATAATAATTTTGATGTGCTCTCGTTGTTTTTTGTCAGTTTTGTTGGTTCTCGTTTTAGATCTAAAGAAGTTTTACTTAATTTTTTTTTCTGTCTCTGTTTTAGTCATTTAGGGTTTCATTTAAGAGGTATCATCGAGTACAATACGATTTTCAGAATAATTTTGATATTTTTCGTTGTTTTTGCCAGCTCCCGTTTTAGATCTAAAGAAGTTTTACTTAAATTTTTTTCTGTCTCTGTTTTAGTCATGTAGGGTTTCATTTAAGAGGTATCATCGAGTACAATACGATTTTTAGAATAATTTTGATGTGCTCTCGTTGTTTTTTGTCAGTAGAGTTCTTTTTCTCGTTTTAGGTCTAAAGAAATTTTACTTCAAATTTTCTCTATCCCAGTTTTAG